AGGGGCATGAGAACAAGGGATGTCAGAGCTAAGAGGGGAAGGAAAACGGGATATCAGAGCTGGGAGGAGCATAAGAACAAGGGATGTCAGAGCTGGGAGGGGCATGAGAACAAGGGATGTCAGACCTGGGAGGGGCATGAGAACAAGGGATGTCAGTGCTGGGAGGGGCCTTGGAACAGGGGATGTCAGAGCTGGGAGGGGCCTTAGAATAGGAAATGCCAGAGCTGGGAGGGGCATGAGAACAAGGGATGTCACATCTGGGAGGGGAAGGAGAACAGGGGATAGCAGAGCTGGGAGGGGCCTTGGAACAGGGGATGGCAGAGAGTGGGAGGCCCACTGCTTCAGCCCCCTCATTTCTGCAGCAGGTCAGTGAAGCACATGGGACCAGGGCCCGGGTCTCCTGGTCCCCAGGACAGTGGCGTGTCCAGCTCCATAGAATTTTTGAGCTATGAGGAACCTTAAATCCTCTTGAGTCGAATCCCCCAATTTTCTAGCAGATGGAATTGAGGCATGAAAAGAGGGAGGGGTCCCACAAGTGAGTCAGGGTTTGCATTCAGATTCAGACCCCAGACCTACCCCCCTGGCCACAGACTGGCCGCACTGCTCCCATATTTCGCAGCCCTGGGGACTTTTCTCTCCCACTCTTCTCTCCCCCGCCAGGTCCCTGGCCGCCATGAAGCTGAACGAGCGGAGCCTGGCCTTCTACGCCACCTGCGACTCGCCGGCGGACAACACGGGCTTCCTGTACAAGAAGGGCGAGCGCCACACGGCCTACCACAGACGTTGGTTTGTGCTCAAGGGAAACATGCTCTTCTACTTTGAGGACCGTGACAGCCGCGAGCCCGTGGGCGTCATCATCTTGGAGGGCTGCACGGTGGAGCTGTGCGAGGCCACCGAGGAGTTCGCCTTTGCCATCCGCTTTGCCGGCGCCCGCTCGCGCACCTACATCCTGGCGGCCGACAGCCAGCCGGCCATGGAGGCCTGGGTCAAGGCCCTGTCCCGCGCCAGCTTCGACTACATGCGGCTGGTCGTGCGTGAGCTAGAGCAGCAGCTGGAGCAGATGCGGTTGGGCAGCAGGCGGCGGACTGAGCCCCTGGTCCCACCACGGCGGGAACGCTCACTGCCCTCGAGTGGCTCCAAGGAGAACGGCTGTGCCGTGTGGAGTCAGGAGTCATGCAGCCTGCCCAATGGGACCCTCCCCAGGACGAGCCACGAGGGGGCCCTTAGGCCTCCCCCACTCCCACCCCGGCGGAAGCCCTCCCTGGGCAGCAGCCCTGTCCCCTTGCTGGTCCCCGAGACTCCTTTCACCCCAGGCACCACCACCTTCTCTCAACTTCATGACTGGTACGGCCAGGAGATTCTGGCCCTGAGGCGTGAGTGGCTGGAGAGCCGAGGCCAGCTGTGAGCCAGCTGGGGGAGAACCGGGGGACGTGGGGCTGGAAATCATCGGATCATCCGGACCCATGGTCCATGTCGGGGAAAAATCTCCTCTGCTGGAAAGTCCCTGACCTGAGGTTCCCAGGGAGGATCCGTCTGGCTGGCCCTCGGCTCACGGTCATCCGGATGGAAACATCCCTTTTTCCCCTCTGACTCACTCTTGGTCCATTGACTGCTGATCCTGGCACTGGGCAGCGGGCATCTGATTCCAGGCAGAAGCCTGCAGGACTGGCCCTGTCGGGGCAGGGTGGGTGTCCGGGTCAGCCACCCAGCCCAGACCCTGCTTGGCCACTCAGTCCAGAGTGAAGGAGGGTCAGGCTTTGTCTCTAGAGCCGGGCTGGCGTGGGGCCTGGGGCCTCTGCTGGTGCCTCCCCTGTGCGGCCTCCTTCTAGAGTAGGGGAAGCAGGGAGGGGGCCTGTGTGCCCGGGACCCCACTCTAATGGTACAATGTGTGTGTCTGTGTCTCTGTGTGTGCATGTCCTACCTGTATCCCGTGCATCATTGTTTACAAAGCATCCTTTCTCCTCACTGCTCCTCAAGGGGCCGGGTTTACTACGCCCATCCTCCAGTACGTCAAGAATCTGGGATGTTGTTAGTGGGTGGATGCTCCCTTCACCCACACAGATAGCAACTCGTCCCTGCTTCTCAGGTCATCTGAGGAGTTGTTGTGACCCCCCCAAATTGGCCACCTCCCATCCCCTCCCAGCATCACCAGGAAAACAGTTCTGTCACTGGGCTCCTCCCTCAGCCCATTTTACTGATGTGAAAACTGAGACTCAGAGAGGAGAAGTGATGAGAACTAGAAGGGACCTTTGACATCTCCTAGTCTAAGCTCCTCATTTTATGTGTGGCAGGGCTATAGTCCTTGTTAGCTTACATTTCTACGAAACCTTAATGTTTGCTGAGCGCTTATATCCATTATCTGATCCTCACCACCACCTGTGAAGTGGGTGCTGTTGTCTGACCCATTTTACAGATGGGGAAACTGAGGCCTGTCGCGGTAGCATGGCTCACCAGGGTTACGCAGCTAACGGGTGTCTGAGGTGGGCTTTGCAGCTAGGAAACCCCGCCCTCCACTTACTCCGTTGTGCCCCTGGCCCAAGGTCATAAGTTGCAGAGACAGGATAATGAATCCTGGTTTCCTGCCCGTGGTCATTCAGTGCCTCAGTTTTCCTCTCTCAGTTCTGTGCCTGTTCAGCTTAAGCTGGTTTTTTTTCAGTTCTAAGCGCAGTGAGAGGGCACAGCAGGTGCCTGGAGGTGTGCCAGCATCCTGAGCTGGGCTGTGATGGGGTTCCTGGGGAGGGGGAACCCTCATCCCTGACTCCAGAGCACAATTCTTTCAACTATTCAAAGGGATTTCCGTTTCTTCAGCCCTCCCTGGAGAAGCTATGTGTGGTCTAATGTGGAGGGGGCCGAGCCTGGCCTTGGGGGCCAGAAAGACCTGAATTCAAATCCTGACACACCCTCAAGTCACTTACCTTTCTCAGTGCCTTCAGGTATCCCTGTGACACCGTGTCACAGACTTCCAGAGCTGTGGGGCATTTTCTGCACCCGGAATTCCCCATATTGACCTAGTCACTGGTCCTAATCCCGTCATTCCCTACAAAACCCCTACTCTGCCTCAGAGCCTGCTGCCTTGCCTTGCAATCCTCTAAAAGAATGCCCAGGCAGAACCCTGAGCTGTTACAACTGCCAGGAACCTTGGCGTTTGCCTCGGGAAGATGCTGGTTCCTACACTGGCCAGAAGACTTGTCTGATGTCACACTGACTTAGAAGCAGAGCTGGGATCCCATCCTAAGCCTCCTGCCTGTAAACCCAGGGCTCATCTGCTGCCAGTTCATTTTCCGTCATTAACTCTGTGCCTGCCAACAGCCTAGGTTTTGGGGCTACACGAGCAGGACAATTTCTGACCTCTGGAAACTTGCTTCTTCTTTGCTGCCTGCTGTTCATTTACGTCTAAGACCTTCTCCAGCAGGAAAATTGAGGGAGATTAATTCTAGAATTGTCCATGGGAGGTGTCGTAGCTAGGGGGATAGGGGAGCCAGGAAGTCCTGGGGGACCAGGACCCAGGATAAGGCTCCAGGCAGCTTTCTAAGACTTAGGAGTTGCAGAGGTGGACGGATAGCCCTCACCAGTGAAATTTCAAGTCTGGTCCAAAAAAATAAAAATTCAAGATTTAGGGCTGTGTCATGAGTAGACACTGGCTTCGTGGGCTGGACCTGGGAGCTGCCCTTTCTGGGAATGTATGTTTGTAGCTTCTGGAGGTGGTGAGTTCTCTACCACTGGAGGACTTCAAGGAGAGATTGGGTAATCATTTGTTGGGTACGTCATCGGAGGATTCTTGGTCAGGTACATAGACAGGTGACTTTGGTTCAGCTCCCATGCTAAGTGGATGAGTTCCCCCCAGTGTTCCAGAGCCATGGAGTTCGGGGGTGGGGGCGCCTTCTTGGTAACTTGTTTTCATTGGATGAGAACCTCAAGGCCATCACCTCCAGTCCCCTCATTTTACAGAAAAGACAACTGAGGCAGACAGAGATGAAGTGACTTTTCCCAGGGTCACATGGCTAAGTGTCTGAGGTAGGTTTTGAACTCAGGATTTCCTGACTCCAAGTCCAGACCTCTGTGCACTGTGATACCTAACTTAACACCTCATTCAAGAGGTGCTGAGCATAACAATACCCCTGGACCAGGGTTTGGGGGTAAGGTCCCATAAAATGCTGGAGGCTGCCTCCTCCCATGACCTAGTGACATGTTTCTAGTTCTTAGCATGTGATGTGTTTCTTTCGTGGGCAAGTGTGTTCGTAGGGTGGGTCTCCTATTGGGACAGAGAGGGAGAGGCCATGTGATGAATGAAGAGGGACCCGTTTGTCCCCATTTCCAGCTTGCCTGCAGAGGCCTTCAAGGCCAAGTTTCTGCCTGGCTCTTTACCATCTCACTGCTGGCCCAGTGCATTATGAGTGGGGCTTGGATTGTGATTATGATTATGATTATTTTTTTTTAATAACTTAGGGCTTTCCCAGGTACTTTGTGATGTATGGGCTGTCTTCCCTCTCTGGTCCATGCATGGTGATTGGCTTTGCAAAGGAATGTTGGGGTTGGATCTTAGAGAAACCATTCTTGAGTAGAGGGGCATCCATTGGGAAGAAGTAGAGTGACTGAACACTCCCCTCCCCCATTCCTCTTTCCTCTCTCCCACAGGCCCCTGCCAGGGCTGGAACAATGTAAGTTGAGCTGTGGCTTACCTTCTCATTCCTCAAGCTATCTAAATTAACCACGGATTTTTCATGCAGGTCAGATATGAACCCCCATTTTACAGATAAGTCACTGAGGCCAGAGAATGACTTTCCATGCCCCCATGCTCTCTGTCTGGAGATAGAGGATCTGAGTTCAAATCCTATTGCTGATGCTTTTTTGCTGTTGAGCTCTTGAGCTTGGATAAGTCCGTTAACTTCAATGTTCCTCAGTTTCCTTAATAGAAAATTAAGGGGTAGGGATAGCTTGCCCCAAAGTCCCATCCTGCTGTAGACTAGACTTAGGATTCCAGGCAGGTATTAGAGTGGAGGCCACAACCCAGGTGTTCAGACTTCCAGAGTGCCTTCATTTCCTTTGCTGCAGAACGAAGGGGTTCGATCCTTGGTTCCTTTAGGGAGAGGGTGAGGAAGGTGGCTCTGTCTGGTCTGAGCTCTGAGCTCCAGGAGGGCGGCTTAGGAAGCTGAACAGCCCCCAAGCCCACCCCAACATTCCCAACCTCCGTTCTGAGCCCTGGGGCATGGCAGAGGGTTTCCAAGCTTTTCACCAAGTTGGATGTAGAGACAGTGGCTGAGTGTCATTGTGGGAAGAGGGCCAGCCTCCAAGCCAGGAAGACCTGGCTTCAGGTCCCATCTCTGACATACACCTCCATGCTGTTTGTGTGACACTGGTCAGATTATTACGTCTCCCAGTCCTAGTCTCGACAACCCTCTAGAGCTAAGTTGCTCAGGAGGTGCTGCCATGCAGCTGGAGAGGGTTTCCTCACTCAGGAGTTCCCTGTACAGGTCCAGTCCTCATCCCTATGCCTTGACTAAAGAGAAGGCTTATGGCCAGTCTGAAGCACTGCACTCTCTGGGGTGGGGGAGGTGGAGGTGGGAGCTGGGCGGGGGCCTGGACGACCTCCTAGATGGAACTCCCAGCCGGACTGACTGAGAGACCCAGCCCAAGGCACAAGACAGGAGGTGCCTTCTGGAGGGGGAACCTGAGGAGGGTGGGAATTTCTGGAGTGCTGAAATAAAATGGCCTTCATGAAGAAATGTGTGTTTGTGTCTTCTTTCTATCCAAGCTGTCCTTTTTCCTTCTGGGAAAAAAATTGCTTATCTTATATGTAGGAACTAGGAAGTGGACCCACCCAATAAAAAATAAACTTCAGTCAGTTCAGTAAACATTTATTAAGCACCTACTATGTGCCAGGCATTGTGCAGAGCTTTGGGGATACAAAAAGAGGCGAAAGACAGTTCCTGCCCTCAAGAAGCTTACAATTTAATGGGAGAGACAAGATACAAACAAATGATACAAAGCAAGTTACACTTGAGGATAAATTGGAAATAATTAAAGAGGGAAAGCACTGGAATTGAGAGGGGGTAGGGCCTTCAAGTCTTCCTGTAGTCAGTCAAGCATTTATTAAGCACCTACTGTGCTAGATATTGTTAGGCACCGTAGATATAAGGACAAGAGGAACTTGGCCTTGCCCTCAAAGGTTTACAGTCTATTAGGGAAGATAACATGTACATATTGGGTTTTGTATACATAATATACAAGCATGCCCCTCGACTGTCTGTCTTGTATGTACCTGTTTATTTGCTTGTTAATTATCTCCTTAGCAGGGCAACTAGGTGGTGCAATGGATAGAGCACTGGGCCTGGAGTCAGGAAGACCTGAGTTCAAGTCTGGCCTCAGACACTTACTAGCTATGTGGCCATGGGCAAGTCACTTAACCCCATTTGCCTTGGTTTCCTCATCTGTAAAATGGGTTAGAGAAGGAAATGGCAAACCACTCTAGTATCTCTGCCAAGAAAACCCCAAATGGGGTCATGAAGAGAGCACTACTGAACAATTAGCAACCATTATCTCGTTAGATTATCCGCTCCCTGAGGGCAGGAACTATTTTAAGCCTTTCTTAGCTGAGGCTGCTGGGTGTCACAGGGACTGGAGTCTGGATGACCTGAATTCAAATCTGTTCTCAGGCACTAGCTGTGTGACCCTGGGCAGGTTACTTAACTTCTGTTTGCCTCAGTTTCCTTCACAGTCAAATAGGGACAATAACAGCATTTACCTCATAGGGTTGTGAGGATCAAACATTACTATTTGTATAATGCATAGCACAGTGTCTGCACACAGTAGGCACTCTATAAATGCTCATTTCCTCCCCACCTTTGTATTCTCAGTAATTAGCAATAGTGCCAGGTACATAGCAGGCGCTTAACAAATACTTTTTGATTGGTTGATATGTATTTGTACGCCATGTCATAATTCAGGGCTGCTTCATAGAAGACTCTTAAACATTTGTTGATTGGCTCCTTGAGAGTAGTGACTTTTATTTCCCTGTCTGTTTCCTACCATAGTACCTGGCACACCAGAAGTGCTTAATAAATGCTCAGGGAATAGTTGATCGAAGAAAGGGGTAAACCTTGGAGCTGAAAGCCTTGAAGGCCACAGCTACTCCTTAATCCTGATTCAGACACGTGTCAAGTGCCTACTCTATGCAACCCTGGGCTAGGGACTGAGCCCTGCCTGAGTTCAGATGGAAAGGGAGTATCCATTTCTCTAGGAACTTGCTGCCAGAGGATACAGTTTGTGTGTAGATACACACATACAAAGTAATCTGAGGAGGCTGAGAAAAAATCCTAATGATTGGAGGGGGAAAGAATGAGAAGGGAGGTGACAGGGAATGCAAGAGGCAGAGGTGAGGGTGTGCGTTCTAAGCTTGGGGCTTGGGCAAAGTCATGGAGGCTGGAGATGAGTTTGTAGAAAAGCCAGTAAAGGAGAACAAAACATAAAAGAATGAATGAATGAAAAAGCATTTGTTCAACTGCTAGGCTCTGAAGATATAAAAGTGGGACAGTTCTTGGCCTCCGGGAGCTTACATTCAGACGGGAGACAGCACACATAAGAGAAGGGAATTTTGTCTCGGACAATCATGGGATGGTGGGTGGAGACCTAAATGGGGATTGTTTCTGGGAAGCCACTCACACTCCAGTTTGAACTGGTCCACCCTAGGGTGGAGTTCTAAAATGGAGCCCATTAACTGATGGAAGGGGTGGAGGGAGTAGAGGCTAGAGACTGGCATGCAGTGTCTGGAGGCTTGATAATGAGGCTGCCATTATAGGAGGGGAGTAGGATGAACTGGCTGAGATGTGAAACTTGGGCTGGACCAGCTAGATGTAGTGTTTGTACTCAATAAGGAATGTGCTGTGGGTCAATGGACTGGGTGGGGATGTGACCAGGGCCTGGTGTGAAGGAGCTGCCCATCAGACACCAGCAATAAGGTTTATTAAGCACCTGCTATGTGCTAAGCACTGGAAATACAAAGACCCACAAAAAGACAATCCTTACCCTCAGAGACCTTACATTCTAATGGAAGACTGTAGATGAAAGGGAACTGAAAATAAGGGAGGAGGAGGAGGAGGAGGAAGAAGATGAGGAGGAGGAGGAGGAAGAGGGGTGTATGTGTGTGTGTGTGCCACGGGAGAATAATGGCTCAAGTCAAGAGAATGAGGGCTGGCTGTCCTGGGCCTTTCCCAAAATGGAAGTTCTGGGAGAAACTCATCAATAGGACAAGAGCCTGTAGGAGTTGAGGGCAGAGACAGCTTAGGCCATGAGATCACTCACCAGGCATCCAACCCTTTGTCCCCCGGAACTGGCCAGGTTGGCTTCTGCCTAGGTTCCAGTCTATCCTAAGGTAACATAGCTCCAGATCTCACCTCTTTTTTGGGGATGGGGGTGGCAGTTGGGGTTAAGTGACTTGCCCGAGGTCACACAGCTACTATTTGAGACTAAATTTGAACTCAGGTCTTCCTGGTTCCAGAGCTGGTACTCTACTGTGCCACCTAACTGCCCCTCAGATCTCATCGCTATGGAGATGGATCCTCTCTGCTTGTTGTCATGACTGTCAGTGGCTGGAAAGCTCCCGCTCCATCTTGGGCTGCATCAGAAGTTATAGCGCTTAGGATAAGGGAAGTGCTCATGCCCTAATTAGGCCCTGTCATGGTATTCAGTTGTGGGCATCCCATTTCAGCAAGGACATTGTTAATGGGAAAATACTGAAAGGAGGGCAGCCAGGGTGGCAGAGGGCCTGGAGATCAGGCCACATGAATACTTTTTGGAGGAATTGGGGATAAGAAGAGAAGATGCCTTCACATACCTGGCGGACTGTCATCACCTCTCACCTGGATTATTGAAATGGCCTCCTCAGTGGTCCCCCTGCCTCGAGTCTCTACCCAAAATGATTTTCTTAAAGTGCATTTTTAACCATGGCCCTACTCAATATACTCCAGAAGCTCCCAACACACGCAGACACAGACACACACACAGACACACACACACATACACACACATACACTTCTCCCCCCAAACACAGTAAAACAATTTTTTAGCATTTGGTTTTTTTTTTTAGTTTTGAGTTCCAAATTCTATCCCTCTGTCTCCCTCCCCCCTCCCTGAGATGGTAAGCAACCCCCAATTATTTTAAGGACCTTTTTTGGTTGGTATTTAAAGCCCCTCACACCTTGGCTCCTACCTTTCCAGTTACACATTACTTCCTTCCCAATGCATTATGGTCCAGTCAAACTGTCCTAATGTTCCCCACACACAAGGCTCCATCCTTCATTTTGTGCCTCTGTATAGGCTGCCTCTACCTCTTAGAATCCATGGCTGTTCTACCTTCTGCCTTCCCCTTCCTCTGCCCCAGCTAGTAAAGCTGTCCCTTTTATCTATTTTATCTAGATCTCTATTCCTCAATCTGACCAAGGCCTTTAATACTGTCAGTGGTAAGGGTTTGTACAAGATCATGGCAAAAGCAAGTCGCCCAGAGAAGTTCATCAGCATTGTACACCAGTTTCATGATGGCATGCTTGCAAGGGTTCTGGATAACAGATGATGCTCTAGCACTTTCCCAGTCACCAATGGAGTGAAGCAAGGCTGAGTGCTTGCTCCATGCTTTTCAGCACGATGTTTTCAGCTATGTTGTCAGATGCCTTCAATGAGGACAAACACAGCATAAAGGTCAGCTACCACACTGATGGTAAATTCTTCAATTTGAAAAGGCTACAAGCTAAGACTGAAGTGGAGGGAAAATTGGTACATGATTTTTTGTTTACGGATGATTGTACACTTAATGCAGCCTCTAAAGCTGAGATACAACAAAGTATGGATCAATTCTCTGCTGCTTGTGCTAATTTTGGCCTAACAATTAACACCAAGAAAACACAGGCTCTCCACCAGCCAACACCATACCACCTATACATGGAACCAGCAGTTACAGCAAATGGAGAAAAATTGAATTCTGGGGATAAATTCACTTACTTTGGCAGTATACTTTCCAGGGATGTACATATAGATGATGAGATATATAGAATATCATATAGAATGATACACGCATTGCTAGAGCTAGCTCAGTGTTTGGGTGGCTCTAAATGAAAGTGTGGAAGAGAAGAGGTATTAGGCCGCCTACCGAACTGAAGGTCTACAGAGCCACTGTGCTGACCTCATTGTTGTATGCCTATGAAACCTGGACAGTCTACCAGCTCCATGCCAGGAAACTGAATTGCTTCTATTTGAATTGTCTTAGGAAGATTCTGAAGATCACCTGGTAGGGTAAGGTACCAGACACTGAGGTCCTTTCTCAAGTTAAGCTGCCAGGCATTCAAACTCTACTGCAGAAAGTGCAGCTCTGATGGGCTGGCCATGTTGTCGAATGCCAAATGTATGGTTACCTAATCAGGGAAGCGCTCACACAGTGGTCAGAGGAAGCCATACAATGACACTCTCAAAGTCTCTCTGAAGGACTTTGAAATCAACTGTGAGATATGGGAGGCACTGGGACAGGACCGCCCAGCATGGCGTGCCCTCATCAGAGAAGGGACCGTGCTCTATGATTGGAGCAGAGTTGACATAGCTCTAAAGAACTGTGAGATGAGCAAATGTAGAGACATCTCCACTCCAAACGTTCACATGGACTCTCTGTGCCCAATCTGTGGTGGAACATTCCAAGCTCATTGGTTTGATCAGCCACGGTCGGACACACCGTGCCTT